AAGAAAAAAGTGTGCAAGACAATAAGAAATACTACCTGCCAAAAAAAGTGAAGTTTTGTTGAAATCGATTGAAAAATGTAGGAAATCCGATCCCATATATAAACGAACATACACACACACACACGCACGCACACACACACACACACGCACACACAAACACAAACAACCTGGCTTTTATAATAAGTATAACTCGATATGAGTTGTCCTTTCATTCTCGCGACAGCGATGCCTCTTAATCGTGTTTTCAAATTGATTTCGTGCAAAAACAATTGTGTTTTTCCAATTTTGGTCACTGTCAGAACCACCGCAAGGTAATATTACGTAGTCCTGTGAAGTTTTGTTGAAATCGGTTGAAAAATGTAGGAAATCTGATCCAATATATAAACGAACAGACACACACACAATCTGGGTTTTATGATAAGTATGATTAATGTATGGATTTTTTGCCGGGTATTTTTTTTGCTTGGTATTTTTAAGAGCCCAGATAGAGCAGGGCGGCTAAAAAAGTATATGGCGGTCACCCTTATCAGCAGCGTAGATCTCCGCAAACAAAGTTAACAGCGGTTGCATTCAGAAATAAACGATTCTAAAGATTTACTTTCTAATATTCCCAAAGCTCGAAAGAATAATGTTTAAGTTGTGATATACCAAAGAAAAATCGCAAATTTCTCCTTTTAAGTGAAAAATCGACTTTCTTCGATTTAATATCTAAAAAAAATATCCAGAGACAAACTTTGTAAAGAGAAAGTCAGAGAAGGAACGGTTCCTAATTTTCCATACCGATCCTAAATTTTACTGGAAAATCTAATAATAGTTTTATTCATGTTTGTTCATATGAGCACATGGGTAGAATGTTCGCATTCTGACCACGAGACCCGAGTTCGAATCTCACCATGGTCGATTTTTCAAGAAGGAGACTTCCTGATGTCATCCGACTGGAAGGGTCGACCCCAGCGTGCGGCACGTTTGAAAAGTACCTGAAAAACACACCACGGACTTACCCAAAACTTGTGAGTGAAATTGGGTAGACGGAGGCCATCGATAGCTGTGCTAGCACGAAGTCACAAGTCATCGTGGTTGAAATTGTTAATGACGCAAGATAACACGCTATTTCCCAGAAACTGTAAATAAGGTCTGCTCAGTATAGTTGCAGTATAAACCACTGTGGGCTCTGTGGTTCTGTTGAACAAACACAAATGCACCTGCAATAGAGATTGTCTAGCCGCCCGCCCTAGTAGATAGGTATCCTCGAATATGAGTGGCCAGCTATACATATTTATTAACTATTGGTTTTAATCACGTGCAGTGGGCTAATTTATAAATTGATCTCTGTAATAGATCTGTACGTATAGAAAAAGTTATAGTATACGAGTTGTGTTTGAAAAGTTCTTGTTCAAATTTAGAATGGACAATAATAAAAAGATAAGTATAGCACTAAGAAAAGGATCATCTTTATCTATATGCCATGACTGTTCAAGATGTTAGCGATCATAGCTCTCCACAATTCCCTGTCCTTTGTAGCTCTTAATAAATTTGATCTTTTTGTTATCTCTCTTAAGCTTTGTTATGTTATCCATACCTTGGTAGGTAGGTTATGTGATGTTTTCTCTATCCTTCAATGAATCTTCTGAGTATCAAATTTTCCAGACCCTCTTTCCTCATTATTTTTCGAGAAATTTCAACTGTTTCTGTCTGATATTAAGTATACGTCTCCCTTTTGTTTCGATTTTCTCTAAAATATTTCTTTTGCTCCAAGTCTCTTCTTCATCTATGGGGAGAGCATTCACTGCCATACTGATATTAAATAACTTTGCTTAGATTTTGGAAGGCATCTTTCGCTATCCCAATTCACATTCAGCTTTCATCATCACATTTTCTGTCTTCTGTTAAAACGCTTACCAGATACTTAAATTGTTTGACTTGTTTGATGTTGCTATCTCAAATTTGTAATTTACATGTTCTATCTTCTAGCCAAATCATGTTTAATCAATTCTTCTCGTTTCCTGCATTTTTTTCGGTAGGTGTCATTGTAGTTTCTTTTCTGCGTCTACTGAAATTAGCATTAAAAAGAAAAATGTGGTGTCAATCCTCTTAAGGGCCCATATTTTCGATCAGTCCTATGAATGCTTTTCTTCTCCCTCCAGCAATGGGTAAAAAGCAGGACATACCGAGTTCTATAGCCTTGGATGACAACTGATCTACCGCAGAAGAAAATGCCAACCTACTAAAAATCTGCCTCATCACTTATGTATCGAAAGATACATGATCGCCTAAGCGTGTATCATGCATGGAACATAACTAACTGACTGACTTTATCAAGTAGGATCTATGATAAATATAAAAGATTAAATAAATAAACGGCAAATTCTGTCTTTCTGTTTGTGTCACTGAAACTCCTCTAACTTTACATAGACTTATTATACTCTTTGGGAATCAGGATGACCCCGGGATTGAAAATATGCCCTTCATCTGTTGCTTGACCATCCAGCATTGAAATTTTTGTCCGGATAAAAAGGGAAAAGTTAAAAATTCTAAATGTAAAATATCTGGAAAAATTAGTGATTCTAAAAGTTTTTAATTTATATTTAAAGTAACACAAAACTTTTGAATGTAAAAATGTTTGTTTTAAATTATCTCCAAATCTTTGTGAATAGAGGAAGGATGACATTTTATTTCCTCAAAATGTTAAGGAAACAGTTAAAGTGAGAGGTATCGTAACGCGAGGTTTTGAAATTTCGAAGAATTTGTGATTTGAAAATCTAAACTCAATTGAAGTTCCACGAAATTTGTTGTTTGAAGAACTCAATTTACGGCTTGAATTAGAATTTTGGCCCAAATCGAACTTTTGGCCCAAATCAGTTTTTTAGCCGAAATTGGACTTATAGTCCGAATCAGAGTTAAAATGTGGTTTTGAATTTCCATGGAAGGAATTGGGGAATTCAAAGTTATTTTTTCAAAGTTACAATTGTCGTTTTCTAAGCTGGATTAGACGTCCCTGTAGTTTTGGGCTGGAGGCCCAATTAACCGTCAACAGGAGCTAGCTTAAAAGTCCTCACGAAATGTGGTTTTTAAGCTAGTTCCCAATAAAAAATGAGGTAAAACGGTCTGTAAATCGTTACAAAAGACAAAATGCGAGGAAGACTGATAATATGGTAACTGCACTAATGCCTGGTACTTTAAGTGAACAGATAAAATCCTTTTCTCATTTATTAATAAGAAATGTTCAATGATCTTGAAATCGAATAACAATAGAGCAGCTTTTAAAATTTTAAATCAGTCGTTTTAACACAGCCAGGATTATCAAGATGTTGATTACTGTTTATATTTATCAACGTTCCTCTTTAAGAATTGATCGAAATCTCACGACTTACGATGACTTCCACCACCTTGTTCTTTTTTTTATAGTATTTTTATCATGTCTCCGCTTCTTCATGCTATATATAAGTTTTGTACAACCAATAAGACTGCTCAACAAAAAAAAAATTTCGAAATGATGTCGCGACACCAAACATATTTTTTAGCTAATTTGAAGGCGCCTAATCTGGAAATGACCTTAATTTTTCTCGTTTTTTTGCTGTACAGAATTGGAAAAAAATATTTTTTTATTTGTTTTATGTATATATCATATTGAGCGATGACAATATTTCGCAAAATAAAATTGTAGAAACCTCTCAATTCGTATTTAAACCAATAAACATTGGTCTGCTTATTGAGAAATACTATTTTTGCAATAACAATCAGACTCTAACTCTTTAAAAATAACACAATTGAATATACCAAAACCAACAAGTATTTTCAAAACATTTAATAAACTAACAGCAGAAATAAAATCTTCACTAACTTAACTTGTTATGTTCAATGTTATTTAAGACTATTTTGATATTCCAGCAGTATCATGTACAATGGAATAGGGGCATTCAATTTGGATGACTTTAGCTGAAGTTTCTTTCTAACTGTGAAAACAAAATGCTTGGTTTACTACCGAAGGGTTAAATGTGGTGGGATAAATTTATGAATAACAAACAGATTTTAGGGTTTAATTTTTTTGATGTCACCTTAATTATCAGGTTTACTAAAGTGTATCCAGAACTTATACTGGCAGCAAACCGCCTGCATACGGATAGAAAATGAGTTCAGCAAATATATAGAAATAGAAAGAAGTGTAAGACGAGGATGTGTTTTTCAACTAATAAAGCTAGATGGTTCTGAGAGAACTAGAAATCCTACCAGGATTCATTAATGTCGATCACAATCTTAGCAACATAAGGTATGCAAATGACACAGTGTTAATAGCAGACACAGAAAGAGAGCTACAAAAACACCTACAGAAGGTAATGAAGAAAAGTGAAAATAATTAAACATCAACTTCAAGAAGACAAAATACTATGGTTGTTAGTAAAAGGATGATTCCAAAAGGAAAATTGCAAATCAGTAATAACAACATCAGACAAGTACGAAAATTTAAATATCTGGGAAATGTTTAAAGAGTGGACGGAAAATATGACATTGACATCCGAAGTAGTATTCGGATAGCCAAGGAAACGTTTCAAAAGCCAAGAAAAGTACTAAGAAATAGGAAAAGAGTACTAAACTGATATATGTTATCTGTTCTCCTGTGTGACAGTGAGTGCTGGACGATCTCCTCAAATATGAAGAGGAGATTTGAAGGAACAGAAATCTAGTTCTACAGAATGATGTTGAGGATGATACCGTGGATCGAAAATGTGAGCAACGAGAAAGTTTTAGAGAAAATAAAAACAAAAAAGAAACTACTACTTAACATCAGAAAGAGACAGTTGGGTTTTGTGAGGCATATAATGAAGAGGGGGGGCTTGAAAAATCTGATACTCCCAGGACAGTTGGAGGGCAAAGTGGACAGAGGAAAACATCGCATAACATAGTGATCTTGGGTAAATGAGGGTTTAAGAGATATAGCAGAAAGACAAAGTTTATAAAGAGCGACAAGGGACAGGTAGATATGGGAAGCCATGATCGCCTACGACTTGAGGGAATACGGCAACTGAAGAAGAAGAAGAAGAAGAAGAAGAAGAAGAAGAAGAAGAAGAAGAAGAATGATAAGGCGTACTCGCTAAATCAAGTGAATTTTGAAAAAGCATTCTCTGGGAAATAACTGGTCTCTTTTCGAACATTCTCTACATGAGTAGCACGCGGCTGCGAAGTTCTGGCTGTCATTCATGTATACAAAGATTGCGGTGTATTTTCTTCAGTTTGAACGTATAATGTCTAAAACGATCACATACTTTGAGCAGAGAAAACTATTCGTAAACCGAAGTCAATGTTGGAGTAAACTCTATGACATTTCTCTCTACATGTAATGACACGAATCTTATCCATTAATAAAGAAAGAGAATGTCAGTAGCAATAAGAAGAGAGAAACAATAGTGAAGTGGGGCAAGTGTGACTCCAGCGGCAGCAACCGCGACTGCATTAGGGACATTACATTTCAGTCTAAAAGTTCTAGACTCAGGATTATCCCAAGGAACAATAGCTTTGCGGATTGTAACGTTGACTCGTGAATTTGGTAGCATAGTAATTGCAAGCAATACTAAATATGAACAAGACGAAATATCCCTTACAATTGACAACGAAACAAGAACAACTTATTCTCATATATAAAATATAGTATTCAATTCGAAATTCCCTGAAGGTTACCCGAATCGAAAGAAACGTGAAGAAAGCTGACGAGCAAAATAGCGGACTCGTTGTGATAATAACAACAAAGATAAGGACAATAGACTGAATTTAAATAATGTATCTTATTCTTCCACCCCTTTTCGATTACTGAATGTGATTTTACCAATGATTAGATTCCATTTTATTTTATTTTTAATGCTTTATATAGGAACGTTCAAGTTAATTTTATCTGTTTTATACTAAAGTTCACCAAGGGACATTCTTGGTAGAGTGTTACGGAATGAGATTGTTTTATGGACGTAAGAGGAGGGCGTAAGTGTAGATTATGATGTTAAGTGGGATATATAACGGTTGCGCCTAGAGTTGAAAACCTTAAGATTGTAATGATCAGGAAGAACCATCGCGAGAGTCTGTTCTACAAAGTAGAGGTATCCGGGAAGAAGCTGTCTGAGCGGAAATTCCTTCTTTCCAATTGAATACGAAGGGAATGACGATGAATGAACCCTTTGTGCTTGGCATGGCTGGCCCTAGTTGGGAAGGTCTGAACTGGTGGAACTAACGAGTGTAGGTTGTCTGAACATTTGCTATGTAAATAGCGATGGGGTAGCAATAGGCCTTGCAGTGATTCCTTTGTGGGAAAGGATATGTAGGATTAAAGATAATTCATCACTTACAAGGCTGCTTAATCACTTCTGGAATCTGTCATGGATGGATGGTTATCTCCATCTCAATATGGCAAGAATACTCCATTTTTCATTTGGTTTGACTCTTGTAAAGACAGGATATAGCAGAAGACAGCTAGATTCTGGAGCTGCACAAGGAACCAACTATTTTTCCGGCATCTTTAAAAATGATTCGTTCATATGGTAACCATAAAGGTAATACTAACCGTTTCTCTGCAAGGAAACATTTGACTTTCATTGACCGAGTACACGATACTGCTGTCAGTTGAAATTTATAAAATCTTTCCCTTAAAACAATTTTTCAGGAAAATGGGTTTCTCAGCTCCAGTCATCGCTCTTTCCAGTATTAATGGAGGTTTCCTTCCTAACATTTTAATTGAAGTATAGTGGAATATCAACATCTTTATTATGTCAATGAATTCCATTTGAGGTTGGGGTAAGCTTGAGTTCCAATAGACATTCCAGGCAAGGAGCTTCAGTGAAAGCACAATTGTTTACCATGTTTGGAGAGAATTTAGGATCTGCTCAGTGAACGTTACTAGTTTGGTTTTGGAGATATTGAAAGCTACAAGCCAACGACCATTAAGTTAAAAGCATGGAATGGAAATAAATTAGCTATAGACGAGATTTGAACTCGTTTCCCGTTGCCTTCAATGGCCATTTGATATTAACCACACCGTACCAATTTGGCCACGGAGATTCATCAGTGGGCCAAATTGAAATTTAGTCATAAATCTACAATCTTCCTTATCGGAATTTCTTACGTCATATTGTTTGTTTACATCTCGTGTTTTTATTAAGTTTATCGGTAATCTTATAAACTGTAGGCAGAAATAGACGCAACGATCACTAAAATAAATAACCGAGAGAGAAGAGGAAAGAAAAAGAAAAAAGAAGGAAAGGAAAAGATGAACTACACAAGCGATTAATAGGGCTGTCGATAAAGAGGAACAGAAAGAAAAGAAGAAACATGTCAATGCAAATATATAGAATATACATTACGAAAATTCTTGTTTGGGCTGAATTTTCGGAGATTTAAATGACATAATGATATCAGTAGATAGCAAAATGATCAAGTGAACTTATTAATAAGATAATCATTAAAAGCACGAGGAAAGTAAGAAAATGAAAAAAATTATAAGGAAGAAAGAAATTTGTGTTATAGACGAGGAGGTAAGAGAATGTCGAGAAAGAAATGTGGAGAAATTAGAGTAAGAAGTAATAGAGAAGAGGGTGGATAGCAGCAGCGTAAGACTGGAAGAAAGAGTGACTTATATTAAAAAGATACGAATAGAATCAGAAGACAAGAAGAAAGGAAAGGAAATAATGAAAAACGAGAGAAAAAATATAAAACGAAATTGGAAACAGAAAGAAGTAGAGAAAGAAAGAACTGACTAGAAAGAGAGGAGAAACACTAAAAAAAGAAACAGAGAAAGAGTAGAAAATGGGAGAAAATTAAAAAAAAACAAGGAAAACTAAGAATAATGTCGGAAAATGAAACAATAGAAGAAAAGAACAATTTAAAAAGAAATAAAAATACGAATTGAAAAAAAAAAGAAAAACGAAGAAAACAAAAAGAAAGAATAAGATGTGAAAACGAAGAACTTTCGTGAAATGATGGAGGGAAAATTGTCGGGGTTTGCGAAGGGTGGCGTTTAGCAATAAAAATGGCGTTCGAACGGGCGACAGTTACTGCAGTCTTCTAGCCTGCACTGATGCCCTAGATAGCAGCGAGGGAACGTGTCTGTTCGCACCATTGACTGCTCTTAGCCTCTCTCGATATATTATGGGGACCCGGCCATTAGATGGATAAGGAAGGTTTGCTTCCACTCGTGGTGAGTATGAATTTGGAGTGGGTAACAAGGATAGGTCGGGTTGGTGTTTCTCTTATCAGAAAACTCGGCTCTGGTTGAAGCGATTCCGTAGGACTGTTTTATGGTCGACAATTTGGACATAAATTGTCTTTTTAGTCGTGAGGGGTTAAGCTATTTAAGAAAAAGATGAGTAAAGTCGTCCCAGCATCAAGTATACCATTCCCTTGATATTTTCCCATTCTCTACGTTTCTCCATACTCTGTCTTTCTCTCTCTCTCTCTCTCCCTTGCTTTCACTCTCTTTCTTCGTCTTTTGTACCTACCTATGTCTTTGCTTGTGTTTATCTGAATTTTCGAGCACTATAGGACAAGTCGCTTGAGAATTAATAATAGCCGATAGGAGTCTCGTGAAAAGCAAATTCTGGAATAGAGAAATGTATGTCGTATTGACCGCAATTAAAATCTAAGCAGTCATCAAGAGTTCTACACATTTTCTCTGTGTTTTCAAGAAAATTGTAGAAAAAGTTCAATTTTCATCGTAACAAATTTAAACTTGAAAATGTGTTTGGTTAACGACTTTTTTTTTTTAAAGCATTCATTCTCTCAAGAACTTAAAATTATTTCCTTTATTATTATATAGGTTGTTTCATAATGACGGACAAATTTTAAATGCAAGTATCTTTGATTATAAAAAATAACAGGGAGTACCAAATATATTAAATAACTGATATACAAGAGTTAAATATATTATCTAAGATTTTTGCTATCTCCTCCCTCATAATGTCATGATTGTCGTCTATAGTTTTCTGCTACCACTTGTTTTCGACTACAAAAATCTGTGTAAAAAGTGAATCCCAGAGCCTTGATATTTTTTCTCACTTCTAATTGGTCAGTTAATATCAAAATCATGTTCTCAACTACGTCCGAATAATATCGACCTAGTTTCTGACCTGAACGAAAATACAATTCCGCCGAAATCTTTCTATGCCTTTTCGAGCCTACCACGTGACCACGTTGGTTATAAATACGTTGACACAAGTTCTTTCTCTTTTGACATCTCTTGCGTTCTCTGACATATAAGATGTAGTAACTAAAGAACTCGTGTTTCGTCCTTTACGGGGAAACGCTCTGAAACGCCATCACACACGCACACATACACATATACGTACGTACGGAATATTCACATATACGAATTCACTCAGTCACACTTACATTCAACAATTTCTACGAACAAAGCACATCTACAAACTTTACGAAAATTCTCTCACTCAAGCTTTTCACCCAGCAAGTAAATAAATACCCCAAATTGGCTCAATCCAAACAGTAAGATTTTCTTCAGCTACAAAAGTTATGAAAGTTCTCCACTGAACATGGCACAGTGGATAAAGGCGTTGGTTAAATTCAGTGACAGAACCCAAAGAGTGTGAGTTCAATACCCGGCTAAGGCAGTGAAGAACTTTCAGAGGTAAAATTAACAGGAGATAACTGACATCCATTAAAACATGGCACGTGGACCTAGAACAGTCTACCCCAGTGAGCGAAATAAAAGTTTCAGTTCGACATTCCAACCACCTGAAGAAGGCCGGAGCGTACAACAGTCGAAACGTTGTAATGAATATGGCGACTAAGATGAGGACAATACTTCGAATAATGTAAATGATGTACAACTAATCTTTTTATTCACAGACAAAATACTTTTCTGATCTCAGCTAAAAATATCTCCTTCGTGAAGGACTTTAAGAAATTCAGGTTAAATGTACATAACTCCCCCTATTGATTAGAATATATACAATGAAGATTGTTTGTTATAAAAAAACAGTATTTGTGTTGTTTCTCGTGTTTGCTTTTTCGTTTGCTTACACATTTGTAAAGTAAAAATGTACGGATTGAATTGAGACCGTCCTTACCGCCACAGACCATCCCATGGATGTAATATTCAGAGATCTTAGATATTATGTTAAACTCTTGTATATCGGTTATGTAATAAATATATTTGGTACTCAATGTCGTTTTTATAATCCAAGATTTAAAATGCATCCTATCATTATGGAAAACCCTGTATTAAAACATGGACACTTCTTTCAAAACTTAAAATGATTGTCTTTATTACATTAAAGAGACAATGAGCTAACGATATTTTGAATAGTCTTACATGATTTCATTAAAAAAGAATCAATATGTCTTCATTTACTCTAGCTGGAAATGTTGCATCAGATAAATTTTGTATAATGTTCGTGTTTATTTTTTTTAATTTTCTAATCGGCTACAAACTTTTGCAATGATCTAATACTAGCAATGTTATCTTAAATGAGTTTTGTCTGAAGAAGCATTGTTGGCCATTATTAATTATTTTATTATTACTTCTTTCATCTTAATTACAGTTGATTTTCATAGCACTCACCCAAATTGTCATTCCAAAGAAATAAGTAAACAGCACCTGTAGAACTTTGAAAAATTAAGCTCAGGCGAATCATTAATATAGCATTAGCCAATACGGATTTCGGAAAATGGATAATCCCCTAGCATCTGACTTCTACGACAACTGAGCTACAACTCAGCCACACCGCCTGCTACACACCCTTACTGAGCCAGGAGAGTAGTTGGAGGGAGCAAAAGAAACAAATTGTCAAGTATAAATTACGTGTACCTTAAACATTTTGGGATAACAAAACAAAACTCACCATGTGACTAACGCAGGGTTAACTCAAATTCCTTTTAATTCGGAGAGACTGTCTTACCATGAGGGATGGATTTAACTATTTAACTTTGCAGGTTCGCATCTGCAAAGTTTACTAATTGTTTTGAATAACAATCTGAGTCTTCTTTTTCTACTTTGTGCCATTTACCTTCAAAACATGTGTTAACATGGCTCTCTACGACTTCCATTTCTTGGTAGCTCTTAGCAAGCATTGTCCTTTTACTACCCCTACCACTATCTGGTTTGTCATCCATTTACCCAATCTCATTAAGTAGATTACTCGCTGTTTTTCTCTGTGCCTAATACATTCATCTTGTCTTGTGAGTGTTAAATTTTCTAAGCTTTCTTTCCTCATGATGTGTCCCAGAAATTTCAACTGTCTTCGTGTATACTTGTCATTTTTTTCAATAGTTCGTGTATACTTGTCATTTTTTTTAAATATACAGACAGCCATTAATGTTTAAACTTGTACTATATATTATTAATTTTTTTACTAGTATTTATTTTAACATAATTCCAATTGCTTTCCGTCACAACTACTCATATTGTCCCAAAAGGACAATAATTGCGATTAAAAACAGATGGAATTATGACAAAAAAAATACTAGTCATAAATTATTGTATCGTACATATTTATACATTAAATTTTACCGGTTTATTTCTCCAGAAACCATGAAGTGTCTTTGACCTGGAATCGAACATCAACAACTGAAGGAAGAGTCGTACAATCAGTCTATTCAAATGTATAATAATTCAAATGCATAATGTATAATATAGTATTTCAAATGTATATATCTAGAATGCCCTATATTGCCTTCTTCATCGATATTTGTATTCATCGCTTTTGCTCGATAAATATAAGATACTTTCTCTGACGGAAGAAACTTATAGTAACATGAATCCTCGTAGCTAAATATACCAATTTCTAATCAATATTTATTCAATATTATGAGTGCAATAGTTGCAAGCACCATTTTAGGTGTTCTGTTGACAATGATAATGCATTTTGTGATGAAAAATAGATCAGAGAAAAATGGATGCAGGCAAAATACTAATGTGACACTGTATGTCGTTACATTTCAAGTTTGGTAAGACAGCAATACATGTGAAGACGATGATTGATGTAGAAGAGATGATTTGGATGGGATCACTGCGTCTTGTATGATTCCCTAAAATCTCTTATGGTCCAGTTTCTTCAACATTGTCATCATCAACAGAGTCATCTTCATCAAATGTGTATCATCTTCCCTGTTGTCCAGTGTATTTGTAATGCAGCATTAGAAATCATAACATGGCCGCGTGTGCGTAAATGAATTTGTTTTGAAATAAACGGCGTTTGACAGAGTTTAACGGACTTGTGATGCGCCTGATTGCCTGTGACTAATAAATGATAGAATATTTTTCTATTTGCTTTATATGCCACACCCATCATACTAATGACCGCTTCTGATTCACGCCGCCATAAATTAATTACTGGAAAGTGTTTATAATTTTCTTTCTCCTCGTGTGAGCTTATATTCACCACAATCTTGGATTGTTGTGTGCAATTATCCGAGTGTTTAGTCTAATTCCAGTTTTTTTTTTCTTTTTAGACTTAATGTAAACTATAACAATTCTTATTTTTAGTAAATAACTGCGGGGTAAGAAGATGAACAAATATTAAAATTAGTTTAAATTTAGCTGCTAAAAATGTTAAGAAAGCCGTGCATATTAAATACAAGAGAAGTTTCTTTTTCCAGATTTTTACAGCTTAAAAGTTGGTGCGAGCGTTATTATTATTATAATGCGTATATACAAATAATATAAGAATAGATAGATAGACCTTTAACCTTCGTGCCCCCAAAATATCGTATGTCAAAAGGATGTTTTTCCTTGGCATCGCTATTATTTAAATTAACTTCACTCCTTTAAAAAGCGATGATTGGAATTTTAATAAAACATAGACATATAAAAATAAATTCATACATTTTCCTTGTTATTGAAAATTGACAACAAAAATAATGAACACTATTTATTTATCAGATTTTTTATTTACTCTATTTATTTATTAGATTGTTTATTGTATTGATTGGCAAAACATCGGCTAATTACCAATTGATTTGAATTTCATAAAATGGCAAAAAATAAACATTTCGTTATAGTTCTAATCATCGCTTTTTAAAACAATAAATATTGCTGAGGAGTGAAGTTAGTTAAAATAATAGGGGTGCCATGGCAAAAACCGTCCTATTTCGGCAGCCCAATTC